AATGGGAGAGGGGTCAACCAAAGAATGGTTTAAGACATGAAAGAGTTCATGCCTTTGGCAAGGAGGAGCCCTCAAAGAGAGTTAAAGCCATTTCAGCACAAATTCTCTGAAGTTTAAACACAAGCACAAGGCAAACCAACTCTCAAAGCAAATCAAAAGTGAAGAAATGAGGGAGGTGGTAGATTTTTAATGCTGAAATGGCATGCTCAAGACACTAAATCTTGCAAACAATCCATACAAGACATGCTCAAAAGCCAAATGCATTAAGCTAGTAAAGAGCATCACTCTAGAAGCATGCAATATCAAGCATAAACAATCAAACCAGCTCTGGACATAGCTTAATCATGCCAAATCAGAGGCTACAACATGCTGAAATTGAAGCTTAAAAGGTAAGGAGAACATGCACACATGTTAGCCCACAAACAAGGAATAATACACACCCCTCAAGAGCAATGAAGAAGTGGAATATGTAAGAGTATGACAAAGGTTTATGCACTAAAATTGCATGCTACATGATGCTATGGCATGCAAACAACACATACAAAGCATGTTAAGGGCGTTGAAACTCGAAGCTAATCAAGGCCATTTACACTACAACCATGTAAAGCAAAGCATATATGACCAAGACCATCCAAATCAGAGTTAAAGCATGCTAAAACATTAGCAAAAAAGTGCTGGAGGTATGCTAACACATGCTAGAACAATAGGCCAAATCATCAAATATGCTAGACTCGCAAGCAAAATTGCACTACAAGTACCAAAATCAAACAACAAGTGACCAATCTAGCCCAAAACAGATTTAAAGCAGGTCAAAAGAAGGCCTAAAACATGCATGAACTAAGCTTCAAAAAGGGAGAAATATATGCTCACTTGTTAGGCCATCAACACATGTAAACAAGAGAAGAGGAGGAGGGACCACCCCCTTCCATTTTGGACCTCAAAACCACCTTTCCACCACAGAAATTCCTCTAGGATTCAGTGGTTAAAAGGCCAAGAAAAGGTTGCTTCAAAAGCTTTACAAGATGGCACAAAAGCTTACCAAGCAAAGAGACGAGAAGTGTGGACCACCCTCAAACTCAAAGTAGGCTTAAACCAACATTTTTAGGACTGAAGAATAGAGTTTTCTTCAGTTCAAAACCAAGCCAAAAATAGTTTGCAAAGGTGGCAAAACAAACATGCAAAACAAAGCGTTAAAAGGACAAGTGCTTACCCTTGAAGCACAACAGCAAAACAGGTGCAAATCTGAGCCAAAACCATCTTTGAGAGCTCAAATAGGACCTCCAAGAACCTCAGCAACAAGGTAGAGGTGTTTGGCCTAGGGTCTGTTTGCAAGAGTGTAGGAAATTCTCACTTCTAGGCATAATATAGGAAGAGAGAGAGGCTTCTAGAGAGAGAGTGGCTGAAATTTTGCTCCCAAAATTATAGAGAGAGAGATAGAGATTTAGAGAGAGAGGCTCCCAAACTTGCCAACCTTCTCAAAATGTTCTCACCCTTCCAATATGAGAGAATGGCCTCCATATATAGCAAAATACAAACTCAGGTTGAAAATATCTGATTTGGGGCAACTGGAGGAGTGTGAAGACAGTTGGAGGAGAAATATTTGCAAAAAACTGAGTTTGGGACACAACTGGCCGGTCGGCTACTTCAAGTGGCCGACTAGCCACCTCTGTGGCCGAAAGCAAAAATCTGCTATGCAGGTCAAACTTCAAATGTGCATATCTCCTTCATATGGACTCCTTTTCAGGTCATTCTTGTGTTCAAATTGAAGCCCCGGAAGTAAGCTTTCCAATGGTAGCATCCCAAATCAAAATTCCAACTGTGGAAAAAGTTATACCTGTTTTGGTGAAGCCGTTCAGTTTTGGTCCTAACCGAATTTGATGCCCAACTTCTCCTCAACTTGGTTTTCTTCTCTCCTCTCCTATTTTCTTCAAATCCCTAAACAAGGTGTTTTGAAAGATTTTTCAAAGATTTCATATCTCTTTCATTGATTTCCACTTTGTCCTCGCTCGGTTTACTGTAAAGCGCAACATTTAACGAAATATGAGCCTCGGAACATCGTAGGAACTTTATTTGAAAAATATTTTGAAAGAGAGGGTTTTAAGGTCTAAAAATCATTCAAAATAGCTTGGTCCAGGATGGGGTGTGAGGTTAGGATTTGACTCTCCTCTTGTCAAAGAAATCGAAGCTTTGCATTGCACACCTTTTATCACCAAGTAAACAATCAGTAGAGCCCAAGTCTTAAGGGCGGTCAAAAATGGGGTGTCTACACCGGTGCATTTACTTCTAAGGGTCTAATATTCCAGTTTGACCCTTGGAAATCACAAAGGAAAGTTTCATTATAACTTATTATTGAGTTTGGATTTGGAGTAAATATCGCTCATTTTGGGTTTAACTAGCCATTATCACTATTTCCGAGTTTAACTAGCCATTATCGCTCAATTTGGGTTTGACTCGAAATTCATTATCGCTTGTAAATGAGTTTGGCTCTTCCTTTGTGATTTCCCCCACAGAAAAGGGCTTGAAGAACTCATTTCTCAGGTTAAGTCATGCTTGCTATTCTTTATTGCTTTTTGAATTAGTGGACATAATCATCACCTTTGGATAGAAATAAAGAAAAGATAAAAAAAAATGGAAAGGTAAAGTCAAAATGGGTTAATAAAATTGGAGTAACAGAGGTAAAAATATAATAAAATTTGGTTACGTTCGATCGGACGCTATACTGAACCTATTGCGTCTTGAAACATCAAATACTATTGTTGTGATGTTTAGTGATTCATAAGGCAAGTCTACCCCTTCGCTTGAGGTAATCCATGATAGGAAAGAGGTATTCTCTATCTTTTATTTCATTTATTGAGTTCTTGTTCCATCTTTTCTAAACTCATCATGCAACAAATTTGCAATGATTGATGATTTGATAATCAATTTTGCTTATCCCTTGATCATTTTCATGATAGGGAAGGGTAGAGAGGATAAACATCTCCTGAAAACACTCTGTTTTTGTTATGTTTCAGCTCTGTTGCAGCAGGGTATTTTCCAGAAGCAGTGGCTGGCCTGCCATCGTTCTATATGGCCAACCTCTTATTTTGTACAGGTAATGGCATTTTTACAGCGGAATAGAGCACAATCTGATGCCAAAACAGAATAATTTTCTGACTGCAAACAGAGCTGATCCTGGCAGTAGAAAGATAGGTTTCCGGAGGATGTTCTCGATTATGCGCATATGATTCCTCGATTCTCGTCCGAGTCCATTAGATTAAATATTCATACTTTGCAATAATTTGTAATTAATTACTCAGTTGCTTAGCTTTCATTTGAACTTGTAATAATCTAGTTTATTCAATTATGTTGTAATAATTAGTTTAATTAGGACATTCATTCATACCCTTTTGTGCGAGGTCAAACTTGTAATATTTTGTATGTCTTCCAACCCCCATTTCTTTCTCCCTTTTATTTACATAATTATCGTGGTAGCATCATATTTTTTTATTTAATTTCATTACCATGCATTGTATCCATTTTCGCATGCATTTTGGTTCGGTTCATCATTCTAATATCATTGTCATTTCCTATTTACTTGAATATGTGCATTACGAATGCTTAGAATTTATCCATATAACATGTTAAATAAATCGAACCTAGTAGTTGCGTTTTGTATGTGTTGCATTACTCATTTGCATATATAGGAACATGTATTTTTCTAATTATTTTATTTTCTTTGGCTTGCCTCAGAGTACTAGGAGAGTATTTTTGCTTTAACATATTGCATATGTGTTTGTGTTTCCATGTAAAAGCATAACACCGTGAGGCTACGTGCTTATTTGAAATATCTCTTTGAATGTCTGTCGATGATGGCTATTTCGCTTAAATTGGAATGACTTTGATTAGTGTACATGTGAACTCTCTGTTTCAAGTAGCACATATTAAAACCTTTTTTCAAACAAACATGAAATCAAAACATTGCAAAATAGGTGACGTAGTCTATACTTGTGTGCCTTACGTAGTAAGTTAGCGTAATAATCAAAACATGAACATATACTGTACATAAAAATCACATCATGTTTAGTAGAGGCCTTCTTTGATTGGGTGAGTGGAGTGCTCAGTTCGTGACCTTCCCCTCTTACACCTAAGTTCTCGAGCCAAGACACTTTGAAGTGGCCTTTGGTACGAGTCACGGGTTTCCTAAATTTGCCAAAAAAATTTAGGTGGCGACTCTGAATCTGGCAATGCAGTCCATTTTTTGCATCTCTGATGATAAATAGATTTTCTAAGATTTGCCGAACTTGGACTGTTATTTGTGTTTTTCTATTTCACATTGCACTTGTGAAACCAGATTTAGAACCACAGGAGTCTGAATAGTAGGGCTATCATATCTGAGGAGACTAAACCCCTCCAAGGAACACAAAAAACCAGCTACAGTTTTGACTCTGTTGGGGAGTTAAAGAACTTCACTTGGACTTTATGATGTGACATTTTATTTATAGACTAGCGTATGCCCGTGCCTGAAGGCGCGGTGTAAATAATGTTAAGATTAAAATATAATTATAATTCCAATACTATTTAATAAATTATAAATTGACCCATAAACAATCTAAAATAATACTAAAAAGATAGATGAAACATTATATTCAAATTAACCTCTAATTAACATAAATCATCAAAACACCATAATAAATCGACATAAAATTTTAGCAGATTACAATCCAAAATGTTAAACTTGAGTCAACTATGGGCAGTTTAAGAAAAATTGAACGTGGGTAGTTTAATACAAATTGAATTTCCAACGATTTGGCCATTCAAGTTGTCAACTTAACACATTTTGTCCCATTTGATTTCATTGCTCTGCTATTAAGTCATCTAATCGGCTGTTATTATTAGGCATCTAGACAAAAAGGATATCCAAAAACAATACTTCACATTTATTAAAAGGCTAACATAATGGACACACTAAACATTATTCAACCTATTTAAAAAAACACTGGCAAAAACAAATACAACCTACCAAAATAAATAAATAAATAAATAATCCAAACTAAAATCTCTCCAAACAAAAATCTAAGCCTCCTTGTAATTGAGGGCACAATCTCCTAAGTCTCCTTGTCATGGAATGGTTTCATCCGCCATAAGAAAAGAACCTATTAAAAAACCAAGCAGAGTCTGCTACAACGGGTTCATTGTCTTGATTACACTGCCAACAATAATAAGCATGAGTCCGATTTTTTATGTCACGAATTGCATGCCCAAAGCTTGCTTCACGATATGCAGAATAATTTGGTTGTGGATATATAAAATTGCAAAATTAATGGTCAATTTTATAAGTAGACAATTTTACAAAATAGTTCAGTATGAGAATCAGTTGACCTAAGAAACAATTAAACAGCCTGGCTTGTTAGCTATGCCTTCCATGTTTCCACCATCACCGATTGTTATGTATGCTGGAGCATTAATATCTCTAACCGGTAAGCTTAATCCATTTATAATGTTGTACTTAATATTTGATATGCGTTCCTACAACATAGGATAAGAAATTAATTTTCATAAACAATATGAAAATAAATTATCTAATTTTGTATTAGAAAGAAAGCTTACTAAACGCTCATAAGAATGAACGTGGCTAGCAAATACAATATCAACTTTGTATTGAACAAACAACGATTCAAACTGGACTCTCATACTTTCTCCTTCCATGTAATGGTAGTGGTTGGTATTGTACCATGGAGCATGTAAAATAACAACGACCCATGGAGTTTCATATCTGTTAATCTTTGGGAGCTCTTGTTCAAGCCATTTGTATTGCGGGGTATATTTCCCTAAACAACTATAAAATTTTGTTAGCAAAACAAAAAATAAAAGTATAAAATATGAAAGTAAAAGAAAAAAAAGAAGAAGATTCATACCATAGGCTGAGTAAGAAGAAAGAACAATGATATATGTCGATGCACGCTTAATTGAATACCAAAATGGGGAAGTACTCTGGGATGCCTTGTAGGGTACATAATAGCGGTGCAAATATGGCTTGAAAGGATTGGTTTCTTCCTAAAAAAGAAGATGATATAATCCATAAAATAATTTATGACAGAGAAATGAGATCGGTGACAATGAACAGAACATATTTATTTGGTGTCTTACCAAATTAGAAGCTAAGTCAATTTCATGATTGCCTGCACTCCAAATCCAGGGTTGGTAAGCAACGCTCTTCTCAATGAAACGACCAAATGTATCCCACTTGGTATTGTCATGGTTAGGGTGATCATCAGCATATGAAAGATCACCAGCAAATAGCACAGCTTGGCTTTTTATTGGGTTCGACATATAATGCTCTAGAGTTCGATTGGAATCTGCAGTTTGTCCCAAGTCACCTGCACAAAAATAATGTTAACATTATACAAAATGTAATGAATGATGAATTAAATAAATAAACTAAAATTCCCTAGATTACCCTAACCTATGACACCAAAGGTGTAAGAAACGTCAGGTCCTGGCTTGGGAGGAGTTGTGAAGGAGAACTGATGGGTAACTTCATTAGACGCAACTTCATAGAAGTATTTTGTGTCAAACTACATGAAAAAAAAAGTTAGAAAGCTCAAAAAAGTAATCTTAAACATAAGACAATAGATTAAAACAAAATACATTTAATGCATATATATTTGTACCGTCAAATCTTTGATAGTAGCATGGTGAATGTAACCAGAAGCATAATTATAGTATCTATAAGTGGTGATTTCAGAATGAGTATGGAGCTTGTGTAAATGTTTAGTGCTTGCTTCCCAGTATGTCACCACATTAGGGTATTTCTCAACTGGAGTCACCCATGAAATGATCATACTCCTACCTTCATGGTCACCTTGTGTAATGTGAACCTGCAAGTTCAAGGAAAAAGGAAAAAAAAAGAATATTCAAAAAACAATTACCCAAAAGTGATGCGTATGTTGTACAATTTGTATCTACACATACATACAGTTAGATCATGTGTCTCAAGATTTATGTGCCAATAGATATACATAACTTCACAAAAATCTGCCAATCCATCATTAAATTCGATTAACAGGGCAACAAACTTCCATTCAGCAAACAATCTTTCGCAGGTCCCACTCAAATTTTGCCGATTGTATCAATAAGAAACACCATAACTGGGCCACATTAGAGCCAATGGAGACCAAAGTTATCAACCCAAAGGCACAACAAATCACTAAAAATAAAGGCCCACACACATCACATAATATATAAAGAATAGAAAATGGATGTGTAGAAAGGCTAAATAAAATTACCCCTCTCTAAAACAATTAAGCCTTTAAATGAATTGGTCCCAAATAACTTCACATGGTATCATAGCAGACCATAGATCGCATACTCGAATCTCACCAAATACCCAATAAACTTTTAAGTATGGTTTCCTTACTCAATCAATCAAGGATTGTAGCACACTATTCATATAAAAGGATTCAGACCAGTGAAATGATGAAAATAAAAAAGGCAATTTTACCTTGCGATCAGAAAATACCGAAGAAGAACAGGCCTGGAGAGCAGAGAGATAAAAGAACATTTACACAATTACAACTAAACCTCTCTAAAATTACATTATGTGCACAATTACACAATATCTGAACCAACAATCTTCGACATTTGAACCATCTACAATATTAGTGTACTTACAATGGGGTCATTCTAGAATACAGAGCCTTACCATATGTACATTTTTTATATTAATTACATAAATGTCATAACTAAATCATTTTCAATCATAACTCCAAAAAAAGTGTCACAACCAAACACCACGAAAATATATCCAAAGTCATTTTTGATTTAAACCAAGATCACCATAGGTCATAACCAACAAAATAATAATCCTGATAGTAGTGTCTAATCATCACCAATCATCTCTTCCACACGTCATTGCATCTAAAAAGTAAATCTAAAAAATAAGCTTATATATCATTCTAAACGCCAGCCATGACCAAGTCATAAACACTACTAATCAACTAATCATAAACACCCGCCATGACCAAGTCATAACATAGGAAGTAACCAAAAGACCACAAAATCATAATTTGGCATATGATGTACTATAAAATTTTCTTCTCAACTAATCAACAATTTTGAGAGTATGTTAGATGTTACTTGGATTTTATAATTGAAAAATGTAAACCATCAAGAATTTTGTAACAAAAAATTACTTATTGATTAAATTTTGAGAATAAAGATTAGCTTTCCAAGACACATTGACTGCTACTTTGAAACGAGGCTAATGAGAATAAAATTCGTAATTTTGATGCTCATATAATTTCCTAAAATGAGAATAAAATTCCAAACCAATATGAAGGACACAGCTCCAACAAAGATTGTAGAAAGGAAAATAAATCAATTGATTTGAATTGTGTCTTCTAAAATTTCAGCTTCAATTCTTCTATTTGTGCCTAAAATTGCAACACGCACTGAAAATTCATCAACAAAGGAACCAAAAACAAAACAATCAATGATAATAGATAAAACCCAGAAGCCGTACCTGGTAAACCAATCCCTGCCTCTTTGTCTCCAATTATAAATTCATTAAAAGAATGAAAGATCTACCAAAGAATCAAAGCACAAGAGGTACATCTAGGTTCAATTTTCAATTATTTATAAAAAAAAGTCAGTCTGTGATAAATCAAAAGAATTTATATATTGATCATATCTACTGTTGTACTTTTGATTTTTGTGTTTGGGCAAATTGTTAACAATAAGAAAAAATTCAAATAATTATGAGGAAAATAGAAAATTTTATTGCCAAAAATGCTAATTATTTTAACTTTTGGCAATTGAACAATAATTATCCTTGTGCACCGAAAAATGATAAAAACTTTATTTATAAACTTGCTTTCAATGAGAATTTAACTAAATTCCATTTTCAATTTCCCCCAAATTATTTTTTCCTGAAGTTATAGCTATCAAAAACGAAGTCAAGATGGAATGGAAATGATATAATACATAGATATCACAATTGGGCTCTAACCCGATTCGAGTTTCTTCTCCGAATCTAATGGATTCTGGTTCGATTTCCTTTGCCAAGACGGTGGTTCTATGTCCAGCTGCATGTTTCCTGATCAAACGCTTCTGATCAAATCTGGAGGAGTCGATCCATCTCCATCTCAAGAGAGGATTCAGTATGGTCGCGGGCGCAATGGCAATTGAACAATAATTATCCTTGTGCACTGAAAAATGATAAAAACTTTATTTATAAACTTGCTTTCAATGAGAATTTACCTGAATTCCATTTTCAATTTCCCCCAAATTATTTTTTCCTGAAGTTATAGCTATCAAAGACGAAGTCAAGACGGAATGGAAATGGTATAATACATAGATATCACAATTGGGCTCTGACTTGATTCGAGTTTCTTCTCCGAATCTAATGGATTCTGGTTCGATTTCATTTGCCAAGACGGTGGTTCTGTGTCCAAGTGCATGTTTCCGGATCAAACGCTTCTGATCAAATCTGGAGGAGTCAATCCATCTCCATCTCAAGAGAGGATTCAGTATGGTCGCGACCGCAATGGCCATGAAATGCTTTGACCTGATTCGAGTTTCTTCTCCTAATCTAATGGATTCTAGTTCGATTTCGATCCGCGAACGGCATCGTAACTGTCAACGGCATTGCGATTCACAATTCGGAGGTTTATGCCAATCGGTGGATTGTTGTGCTCGCTGTTGTGCATAGCATAGATGAACTTAAACATTCTTCAGCCAAGGATCCGATTTCGAAAGGGAGAGAGACAAAAGGGGAATGGGGACACTTGAGAACATAAAGCGGGAGAGATAAAGAAGGTATGGGGAAGAGACGTGGGTTGGTGGGAGAGAGAGAGAGCAGAGAGCGTTTGAGCGTTTGAGCGTTTGAGCGGAAAAAAAGCTGATCTCAACCATTGATATAAACTTGGAATTAATCTCAGCCATTAAATTAAAATGTATCCCACATACATTTTATACATTTTCAAAAACCTTGTTCCCTTATTATATAGATATATGTTCATTACATTTCATTTGCATTGGTGCTCTTAAGTCACTGGGTTTACCATCTGATATACTGGACGATTTGTTGGAGGCTTGCCAAAAGCTTGGAAAAAGGCTAGTCGACCATAGGCAATGTCACTTTGGGAACGCAACCCTTGGATCTAGGTTACTGCTGTACCGCTTAATCCTCTTTTCATTTTTTGATATTAGGTGTGAGAGGTATATTAGGTAAACTTGTTGAGGTATCCTTTTGACTAATTGGCCTAGTGCATATAGTAAAGCTCTAGTGACTGTTCCAAACATAGGACAAGATGCTCACCCATATGCAGGATTTCATGAAACTACTTGCTTGAAGTAGTGAAACCCTAGCTCATGCCAAAACTAGAATAGGGTAATCCTACCCCATTATAGGGGTGTGTTGGCTCTCTTTACCTGGTATGTGCTTTATAGTGAAACTGCGCAGGAGTGATTCGTATCAGTTATCATTTTGTGGGGCAGAATTCAGTGGGGAATACAATACTACAGTTCAATAGAGAATACAGTCCTATAGTTGTGATCACATCATTTTTCGTTGAGGTGTTGATTTTGTTACTTTTCGTTATTTCTTTTGCTAGGTAGTCTAAAACCATAGCTTCAAAAAGTTATGATATCCCCCAAGTACTTTGGACCCGTGTCGGAAGAGTTTGTAAGGTCGGAGATCTTGTTCGGGGATAGCCAGTGTTTGCTTCACTATCACCAGTTGCGAGACGAAGAAGGGTCAGACAGAGTTCACTAGTTCAGTTATTTCAGCAATCACCCCTCAGCTCACCTATACTCAGTTCACTCCCTGCACTGTCATCTACTTCCATAATGGCGTTATACCTTACTTGCATTGCAGTCAGTCGACTCACTCTAGCCCAACATGGCCCGGCAAGCAGACGTCGCGAATAGGTTACAACAACAATAGTAGCCGGTTGCTACTTCTGCTTCACATATACCTACAGTGGCTACTCCCATACCTGGTAACACTGCCAATGCTACTATAACTTTGGATCCACCAGTTAAGTGTGTTCCAGCTTTTCCCATCCAGGCAGATCCAATTTCGGTATAGACATCTAGAGCTCCAGTTTACTAGGTTGACCCATCTTTTGAATTTGAGGTTGACCCAACCATAGTGAAAGTCAACAAACTTGAAAAGCTGTTCAAAAAGGCACAGGGGGTAAAGTCCATTCTAGATATAGAGGTTGGATATACTGAATCTACTGTTACTTTGCCAGAGCGGTTCAAAATGGCGCATATTGATTGACCGTTTCGATGGTTCTGAAGACCCAATGGTACATTTGCGCCTGTTTTCTGATATCTTGCGACCAATGGGTTTGACTAGACTTCAGAAGTTGTCACTCTTCGGCTGAACCATGTCAGGTATAGCAGCCATTTAGTATGTTAAATTGGAGGACTCTGGGAAACAGAGCTAGGAGGAAGTAGTCGAATCTTTCATTTCTCAATACTCCTACAACACGCGGATCGATGCCACAACTCGTGATCTTGAAGCAATGCGTCAGGAGTCGAAAGAGGGTTTCACAAAGTTTGTAACTAGGCGGAAGGCTAAGGCATCGATGATGACAACTAGACCCTTAGAAAAGGACAAAATCTAGATTGTTGTTCAGAATCTTCATGGCAAGCTACTGCAGAAGATGATCGTTCTCCCCTTATTCACGTTCAACGAACTTCATGAAATGGGAGTTCAGATCGAAGATGCAATGAAGCAGGGGATCATTATAGATGACAAAGAGCCGGCCAAAAGGCCTTTTATTTGCATTTCCAATGCTACCAGGGGTACCACAACTGTGAGGCCTTCAGAGGTGAGTGTTGTCACCACTACCAAACCTGCTGACCCATTCGCAAATATGAGCCCACAAACTTCTAACCCTACTCGAAACTAGAGGACATTCAATCAACTGCACATTACTCTATCTCGAGCCATGCGTGTGTTAATAAAAAAGGAGGATCTAAAACCCTTCGAACCACGACCACTTCTAGACCCGCTCCCACCTAGGCACGATCCCACAAAGTACTATGCTTACCATGAACAACATAGCCACGAAACTGACAGGTGCTACCGCCTTTGTCATGAGATTCAAGATATCATTAACAACAAAGTTATACCTCCACCCCAAAAGCCAAACACCGTAACCAACCCACTACCCAACCCTAATCAAGTACCACCCCCACTACGCACCAATTATATCCGTACACCACCTCTATCTTATGACCCGAGTGTCTATATCACCCCCTCCCATCTACCAAAGCCAGTGTTCATCTCGGAGGGCACAAACTTGTGCATGATGAACACATCCAACCTGCAACTCGAGCCTCATAAACATGTGGTGACAACACCCGAAGAAGTGGAGGTTTTGACCTTGGAAAGAAGTGCCAGTCTGTCACTAGAAATTCCGAAGGACTTATCTGAGGAGGAATACAACCTAGGCCAATACATCACTCTTGTTGCTCAACCCAAACCTAATGTAATACTGCCAAGTTCAGTTGAAGTCAATGTGGTCAGAGAGGATGACCCAAGCCAAGGGCCGGATGATCTTGCTGATCTTGAGGAAGATTTGGACAACCTTTAATTCTTCGAAGAACAAGACTAGGCAATGAACAAATTGGTTGGTCTGATATGAGCTTGTCGGCTGACAATCGGGGATCGCTGAGTGATGAATCTGACAAAGAAGACGAAACCGAAGTTAATTCTGAGGGAAGGAAAGTCCTGGCAACAATGGTAGCTGGGGAAGACGAAGAGAAAGGGAAAGTGCCTAAGAGCAGTAGTACAAGAAAACAAACCCAAGAATTGGTTGTTGAGGCAATTGCAGATGCTGAACGAGAAACGGTACTGGGGTAACTTGAATGGGAGATGATCAAAGATAGGCAAAAGGCAACAACACCTTGTCACCTTGAGGAGGATAATTGTCCTATAGGAGTGATTCGAGTTGAGCTAGACAACTGTCTATTGGTGATTGAAGGTAAAGATGAATGGTGGGAAGACAACAATTTGCATCTTGCCCATACAGATGAAGATTGGAGAGATCATATCCTAGACAGTAATTGGTATGTAGAAGAAATAGACCACCTAACCAGAAGTGGACGGTATTTCAAACCCTCGCACCTGGACCAAGCCGAACCATCAGGAAAGGACAGGGAGTTTGAGAAGGAAAAGGAGAGAAGTTGGAAGAAGAACAACAATTAAAGAAGATCTAAGCCGACATTTCCATTTGGGGCCTTCTTATGGCTCCTTGAGTACACCGATAAGTAGTTTTGTGGGCGATGAATAAGGCTTAGCTATCCATCAATACTACGCTAGAGCAACTCACTGGCCTGATCTTCCCAGGTAGCACCAAGCCTATGCTCACCTTTGTAGCTTGCTTTTCGTTCTTTTTAGAGGGGTTTAGTCTCCTCGGATACGATGCTCAAGAATCAATGTCTAACACCACTCTTGTGATTCTAAATCTGGCTTCACTAGCGCAATGCGAAATAGATTAAACAAGTGAGAGTTTAAATCTGGCAAATCTTCAGAAAATCTATTTATCATTAGAGATGCCAGAAAGGATTATATTGCCAGATTTCAAAGTTGCAACCTAAATATCTTTAGAAAATTTAGGAAACTCGTGATTCGTGTCAAAGACCATTTGTCTGTCATAACCAAAGTGTCTCGGCTCAGGAACTTAGGTATGAGAGGGGAATGTCATGAATTGAGCACCCCATTTACCCAATCAAAGATCAGCCTCTACTAATCATGATGTGATTTTTATGTACATTATATGCTCTTGCTTCGATTATGATGCTAACATTACTATGCGAGGCACACAAGTATAGACTATGTCACCCATTTTGGAATGTTTTGATTTTATGTTTGTTTGAAAAGAATTTTGAACATGTGCTACTTGAAAATGCGAGCTCATATGCACCTTAATCATAGTCGTCCTAATTTAAGCGACATAGCATTCATCCACAGGCATTCAAAGAGATATGTCAAATAAGCACTTAGCCTCATAGTAATAAGCTTGATATGGTAACACGAACACACATGCAATATGCTAAAGAAAGAAACACTCACCTAGTACTCAACTCAGGTAAGCCAAAATAGAAGAAAATAGTTAGAAAAATGCAAGCTCTAGTATGCAAGTGGCAAATGCAACATACATAAAATGCGACTATCAGGTTCGATTTATTTAACATGTCATAGGAATCAACTTAGAGCATATATGTAGACACCCCATTTTCGACCACCCTTAAGACTTGGGTGCCCCAGGTTGATCACCCAATGATGAAATACTACGCTGTATATATGCTCAATTTTCTCAGCAAGAAGCCTCGGCTATTGAGTTTCAAAGCCTAGAACCTTACACCATCTTTGGACCAAAACCTAATTGTTCCAAGCCTGACCACCTAGAGGCCTGCTGGCCAACAGGTGGCGAGCTGGCCA